TATTTATATTCTTTAAAAAAAAAAAATCATTTAATTCTAAAAGCCCAAGTACACCATCAGTCACTTCAAGTACCTATAAACATCATATTTTCAGGCAAACTGACCTGACAGAGCATGTCAACTTTAATGAACATGCAGTACATGCCTTTGATCTGACATGCTCACACACTCATACAGCAGATCCGTATAATGTGGGACTTGTAGGATTATGAGCTGATTGGGTCAAAGGGGCTGTCATAAGTCTGCTAAATCACTAACCAGCTAAATGGGATATTACCGACTGAACAATAAGAGGAGCTGAAGGCGAGAGGGGAGAGAAAGGGAGGTGGCTCGGCTAAACAAAGAAGAACAGACAGGAGAGGAAACAGGAAAACAAGTGTGCAAAGTGTAGGAGACTTAGGCATTTAAGAAGACAGAAGGACAGATTTAATACTCAGAGTAAGGGAGAGATGAGGAGAAAATGGCAACAATCAAAACAAAAAGGCGACAAATAAGAAAACACTGAATATACAGTAACCCTGCAGGCCTTCATGCTTGATGTGAAATTTCTACTCATATGTTGTGTTTGGGTTGACGTCTGACATCTATTCTAGCCAATATTAGCAATAATGGATAAAAAATAAAAATAAATAAATAAGATTATATAAATAGCATATACAGCACAAATATGAGGTAGTTGCACAGTTTTTTGCAACAAGATGCTTTGCTGTGGTTTGTCCATTTCCTTCTTCCCTTTTATACCTGGAATCCTTTTCTGTAAACTGTAAATAAAAACCTATTTTACTAAAATATGTCTCTATTTTAATAGGATTGGAGATTTATCATACATAAAATTCTGATTTAAGCATTCAAACAGTCAAATGTAATTTGAATGGACTGGAGTTCGATTTTACAACACACTGAAAGTAGCTGACAGCTGAATCTGACACCAAGCATCTCTGTTCTGAGACTGATGTTTTAGCAAATAAACTAAATGAAATGCATGTAAAAACACATTAATCAGAGACAGAGAGAGCCAGAGTAGAAACTGAGTCAGTCACATGACAGTATGGACCCTCCCACTTGTAAGCTCCTGCCCTACATCTCTCCATGCATTCAATCCTCCCATCCATCTCTCTTCCCCCTCTCTCTGCAACCTCCACTCATTTACTGCAACTAATCCACTGCCTAGCTTAATCCCTCAACCTGCTCTCACACATACAGTACATATGCACAACTTGTACACACACACACACTCTCTCTCTCCTCCTGTACTCAGTCCATTAAACTCACACGGTCTCTTATATAAAATAAAAACCAAATACACACACACACAGATCTTATTGTAATCAATAAGCATCAAATACCAGTGTTCACAAATGGACAATTGAAGGGCACCTCCTATTTATTTGAGGTGCATACAATTTCATAATAGTTGACAAAATAAAACAAATAATAAAACTAACCAACCTTCCTCTCCATTTTCATGGTAATTTCATGTAAAGACGTATTTAATCTGCAGTCGCTGTGTGGCCCGGCGTCTGTTTCTCTTCCTCTTTCCCATCCATTGCTATGAAAGTAGTGATAAAACAACACCTACATGCTCTCTTAGCAAAGATGAAGCAGTAGTTGTGGAAATACTAGAGGTGAGACAGACAGCCCATGGTCCCTAGGAGCTGAATGAATATAAAAACACTGCTTAATGTATCAGAGTTTTGTGCGTCTATTATGGATTCCATAGAATGTATGCCATTAATATTATTGATTTTTCACACACATCTATGCTCATCTCCAGTAACAAACCGCAGCAGTGCAATCTGCCATATTTTGGCTCAAATAAACAAACGACCCTGTGTAGAGTCTGAGAGAATATTTGTAACTTTTCAAAATGGACAATCTGACTGACTTTAATGAGCCGTGTGCGGAAGCGTGAAAGCATGCTCAGTATGAATTTCTCTCTTAGGCTCTTTTTTTAAAACTCTTTACACACTACCACCTTTATTTTTTGTGTACAACCATGTACAATACTATGATTGCCTCCAAAGAGAGACCTTATCCAGTTTTGTACAATTTAACTTGTCAACACAAAGACACACAGAAAACACATTACAAATATTTTTCTTTTAAAGTGTGATTTGTGATATTGGATTTCTTTTAATACTGATTTTATTTGATTCATGTGTATATGTGTGTTACTGTTTTTATGGTGTTAATTGTTGATGTACTGTCGGGGCACCACTGCAAATGAGAGCTTGGTCTCAACTAGTTTTTGTCCCTGAATGAATAAAGGCTGATGATGATGATAATGATGAAGCCAGAAAGAAGAGTGTTGCTATTTTCAAACATTATTAAAGACAAAATTAATTATTAAATTAACTGGGGAGATAATGATTAATCAATAATGAGGGTTTTCATGAGGCCCTACACCACAGTATATCAGCAGCCAATGAAATAAGGACAGTCACGTTGTGGTGTGCTTGAGCCTCATCGCAGCGCTATCTACAGTATATTATGTGACAGAACTGGAAGTAAAATTAAATTTGAACTTTTTATCACACCCCAAAGATAAATTGACAAATTCAAGGTGATTAAACAGAGCTCTCTGAAATCACAAAAGGGCGGTGTGACATACTTGCTGAATGAACAGAGATGCAAAAAGCTACATTAACATTCATACTTTCTCACACACACACGCTGTATATTCTGCAGTGAATGATGAGGGTAAGACTTGGACAGTGTGAATAATCCCCATCTGTTGAGGGAACATGCTACGTTTCTCTGTATCTGTCTCTCACTTGCTCACTCAACACACACACACACGCACGCAATCCCCTATAAAGCTAAGAAGGTCTCTTGCCAGCCTCAGAAAAAAAGCAAATGTTTGCACTGCATGACAAAATCCTCTGAGGACATTACTACACTTTTAGGATTAAGCTCATACCAGAAAAAAAATGTATATTGCTCTTTTGGCAATAATATCTGCAGTAAAATGATTTTCGGTGAAGTGACCTGAATAAACACACATATTCACAAAACGCAGTACAAGTATTTTTGATCTCTTACTCTGTGTTGTCACTATTTATATACTGTAGCCATGCGACCAACTTAAGCATTTGAATGTCATGTAAGAGAAAGCAACAATAAGCCAAAACATGTTTATAATGGAAAATTCTGTCTAAACCCTGGATTGTATCTTATATAGCCTACTGTAAGTATTGTACAGTATCAGTGTACAAGCTTGTGACAGTGCTAGCAGTTAGCTTGTTTCTGCCCAATTACACCGTAATTGTGGAGGCAACAAAAGAAACTGGTTCCCATCTCTCACAGCCTCTTTTCACCTAAGCACTGCTCTACAGATGACATAGGGGGCTACTGCGACAGCCAGAGGGATGACCCACTGTGTGTGTGTGTGTATCAGTGTTTGTATGAGTCAACAAAACAATGAAATCCGACACATCAATCCAAATATTGCTGGAAAAACCCTCTGACACAGCCCACACATCCAGCCAATCTCACTCATACAAAGGTGTTATGTCTAGCCATTGTGTCTAATCTGGTTGATGACAAATCGGCCGTGATGCACATGTGAAAAGACACTTTTAACCTTTGCTGCACAGCAAATAGGCAACATCTGCAGAACCTCATTCAGAGCAAAGATATTTGCCAAGAAAACATTAAGCTACATTAATAAAAAGGCGTTAGCTATTTAATGTGAATTACTGAAAGAATCTTTAAAGGATCAGTTCACCTAAACGACAAGAGAATGTACTTCCTCAGAACAGTGGACAATGTCATTCCATTGAAACCTGCTGAAAAGGACGTCTGTTAATTTTACAGAACGAGGACACTGCTTTTGAAAACAACAAACTGATTTTTCTCCATTATACTGAGGTGGAGACAAAAATCTCTGTAACCTGCTGACAGTCTAGTACAATCCAATACAGCTTAGCATACACATTTCACTAACGGGAAATACAAATCTTGGCCAGTGTGTTCCCTCACACCTCTACCCTAAACCCTCAGTGCTGATCTGCACCATCAGTATATCCTGCAGGCATTTTACACCAGTGCGGTGCATTCAGGAATGTCGAGGATATTTCAACAAACCTCCGTCACATCACCAAGCCCTATTTCTGTATTTTCCAGCATCACTCACCAGTTCTTGGTTGGTAGAATTGGAGTCGTCTCTGGGGAAGGGGATGTAGATGGCTAAGGCCACACAGTTGGCAAAAATAGACAGCAGTATAAAGATATCAAACGGTCTGGGAAGAGACTGTTAAGGAACACAGATTTGCTAAGAGATATTAAAAAGAGAGCTAATGTTATCTGCGGTCAGTGCATCCTCAGACTTAGCAGGACTTTATATATTTAAGTTGATGATATAAGTGTTTGTTTCAATTGTGTAAATTGCGCCAGAATTCCTGCACCATTCTTCTGTTTGCTTTTCAGTCTTTCTCAGTGAAAGGGAAAAACAGGTGCAAAGACGCTCATGTTATTAAATAAAAGTGTCAAAGTAATATAATAATGCATTTAAATGTGCTTGATAACCATCAAAGTAAAGCTTTTGAGGCAGATTCTAAAAGGTATCATCATATTTTAGTGTCAGTGTTTTATTATTCATCTGTTCATTAATCTTTTTCATCCATTAATCAACCCAAATGATTATGCAACATTTCACTTAAGGTTTTACACAAAGCTTTCTTCTGCATATTTCAAAGTTCAGTCCATTTCCATTCTATCTGGAATGTGTTATGCTCCATTATTTCACTGACTGTTAAAGTTATACATTCATTCAAACCTCACCCAAACCATCCATCCATTTATTTATGAAGCTATCTATCCATACACACAAATACAATCCATTCAGAAACACAAGCATCTGCCATTCAACTGGTGCATCTGTGTGTGGGCTAAAGGATACTTCCACTCCACCAGGCTGATGCAGGCCCTGCGGATCGGGTTATTGAGGGTGAGGCAGAACAGAGCTCTGGGTGGCCTGTTGTTGGTAGATCCTCCCTGCTTTTTGCTTTTGGCATACTGCTGCCTCTTCCTCTGTGCCAGTGAGCCTACAGGAGCTTGTCCAGTGGTGGAAACTGAGGGCTGTGAATTCGCATCGGCCTTTGCAGCATCACCCTGTGCTTGGCGAGCAGCATTAATTGCGGCATGCCAAGCAAGGACCGGGCTGACAACGGAACCTGTGCCACCGGAGCCCTGAAAGCTGCTGTTGGCTCTGAGGAGGCCTTGAGAAGAACCAACAGGTTTTCCAATGCTGGCCGGGGCCTGCAGGGGCTCTGGTGGATGGTGCTGGTGCCGACAGGTGGGGCTTTCTGACCAGAGGGTTGAGGCATCAGTGGAGGGAGTGGTCCTTCTGATATACTGTGCCCCTGGAGGGAGAGAGGGGGGAACAAAATGTTTAAAATATTTTGAGACTGTGAGAGTCAGTATAAACAAAGCACCTGTAGACATCAAGTTCCCCATGCAACAGATTAAGATCTTCAATTAGAGGCAGGAAGTACTTTTGCAGTATATGCAAGTAGGAGCAGTGGAATTTCACATCAAAAAAATTTCCTTGTGCAGCTTTAAAACATTCTGTAAATGTATGTACAACTGTCCACCAGGAAAAAAGAAAGTGAAAGCTGAACTTGAATTTGATTGTGGAGATGAAGAAAGTAGTTGGTCAATAAGGTGAGAAGACAAAGAAGAGGAAGAAAAGAACAACGAGAAGAGCACAAGCTCAAGGACAATGTGGAAGAGACGGAGAGAGTGAGCAGGACAGTCATTAAATTCAGTGCAAACCACAAATGTCACTTTGGTTCAATGCAACTTTGTCTCAGGAACTACTGTCACAATTGACCGACAGTTCATTTGACCCAGTGACTTTATGTGAGTACAGAATCAAAAATGTATCCTAACAAGAACGATAACTCTTCAGACTGAGTAAGAGGGACAGAGACACAAAGATAAATGAAGCTCAAACACTCATAGCACAACATATCATGGCAGAAAAGGTGAATAAATGGCCAGTTCACCAAAGCAAAACAGAATTTTGAAAAATTGTTCAAAACAGAAAGGTGGCACCAAATGATCTGATTTTCTCATTTTTATTGTATTTTTTTAAGGTCAGCTTTTGTTTATTGCTAAAATAACACTGATAATTTTATCTTTGAAAGATAAAAAAAATCAACTGAGCAAGATGTGTCAAAAATATTACTGTGAAAATGTCTCAACATACTTGAATTTACCCTGAGGTCAGCTCAACACAAATTGAGCAACTGTAATCTGGAGGTAGGGAGTAATATTTTTGTTAGACAGCGGACCATCCTCCTTCCTCATCACACAATGTAGCCTGTTATTTAATCATAATTACAAGCTGTTTGACATTTCTGAGATCTTACAGGAATTATCAGAACACTTCTTCTGAAGTTGGCACATCTGGATAACAGGACTGTGCTGTGGTGCCAGTTTAACGTTGAGGACGACTTCTAGAGCGTAAAAGCTGATTTAAAACAACTAACGGGATTTATTTAAAGTTGATTTAGCATCTCTCAGTTCATTATGGAAGGCGCACATCCAAAGTATCCTCCAATAGCTGTCACATGGTTCCTAAACGACCACTTGACCACAGCATTAGACCAAAAACAGTCAACCATTTTTCGGAGAAATAGCCGGATTTTCTCAACGGATCTATGCAGCACAGAACACGCACTTATGTTAATACGCATCCAGTGGACTGATGCAAGTTGAAAACAAATCCTAGAATCAGACACGGGGACTTAAATCACATAATCGCGCATTAAATAAGCACACAGAGAATAAACCAAGGGAGCGCTGTCGCCCCTCCTGTAGCGCTCCAACTCTCCTCCTGCGCTCCGCGCACGGCTTTACCTTCAGACTGTTCATCTGCCTTTTGCATCCTCGAATCCACATCGAAAAGAGCTGTTTCAAACCCAACTCATCGTTGGAAAAAACATCCAAAGTAACTGGGTGCCTGAACTAAGCCCTTAACCTGAATTATAAAATCTTTTCCGAGCGCAAACCCAGAGAGGGGCGCCGAACATTTTCGCCACATCCGGGTGCCTGCCTGCAGCCTCACGGCGGATCCAAGAGGACGCGCTGACAGCAGCAGCTAAATTCACCGCTGTCAATTATTTTTAATGTGGCTGGGGCTGGACTGAAGTTGGAGCCTTTCACTATGCTGGAATCGAATAAATGCACCAGTTGGTGCCTATTATGAAACATCCTGAGATCGAATTAACATTTCAACTCAAATATGATTTTCTGGCACGATTGCCAAATGATTTCAGAGAAAGATAAGGACTTATCATTTCAAAAATATTCAAAACCAGAATAAAGAGAAAGAATCCTCCAAGAAAAGCGTCCTGACAGCACACATATAGTAAAGCCAAAAAAAAGAATTAGAGCTAGTTGGTTTAATTGTATTAACCCTTGTGTTCTGTTAAGGATCTTAACAGCGTTTGTATCAGTTAAGCAGCATGTGAGATAGAGGCCCACATATTAAAGCCTCAGCTCCTATAGGTCTTTGAATGTTTAGGCTTATATTGCAGGTCTTTTTGTCTGAAATTTACAGGATTAAACATAATTTTCAAAAAACAACGGCACTTAATGCAGAACAGCCGTGCAGATCAGTGGAAAATAGCGCTGATTAATCCCTGCAGGCTAACTTTCCCTGGCGGGGAAATTTCTGGATAGGAGGATAAACAGCATGCCCTCGTCCAAACCCTCCGGTTAAGCCCCTAAAGAGTTACTGTATTCAGGTCTTTAGACTTACCCCTCAGGGCTCTTCCCCTTATAATGAGCGGCATTCTGTCACCTGGCTCTCTGGAGCGTCATAGCGCTGCCCTCACTCCGCGGCTGCTCAGGAGGAAATGAGTTGTCGGGGCTTTGTTGGAAGGTTACCAATGATTGGATTACCTGTCCCTTTGTGGCGGATAGCAGTTTCACAGTAGCGCGTAATCCTCCGACTGTACTGCCTGCTCCAATGTTCCCCCAGCAAGGAAAGGTGAAGCATATAGTAAAGCCTCTGTATTAACCCTTGTTTTTTTTGTTTTTTTGTTTGTTTTTTTTTGGAAGTTGATATGGTGTTTGTAAAGTACTCTATTCCAAAATTTTACTTTGTACAAGCTTTCCTCCTAGGACACAAGTTTGAATTATTTTTTTGTTATTACCAATGTGCCATTTCTGTTACGCTGCATAAAACTAAAAAGTCAGAACTTGACATATACAGAAACCATGGGAATTCACAAGCAACTGAAACCAATGGGGCACGTTAGCATTTAAAAGCTATTCACTTGTATACATCAATAACATGTATTGCAGCACAGCCCTGTGGTAGGGTGGTACACTTTTTGCAGTTGGCAGGCCTAAATCACCATAATTAATAGGTCTCCAATAAACACCTCTCTGATATATATAATCAGAATCTGCTTTATTCGCCAGGTGCGTTGGACACACGAGGAATTTGACTCTGGTACATCGGCTATCAATGTGCAAACGGTAAACCAGCATGTGTAATATAACAAAAATAAGCAGTATTTACAAGCAACAGTATTTCCATACTCAAGTCACCCCTCAACCTTCAATTATTGTTGCCTAATTTCCTAAAAATGAGTCAAATAAAATTAAGCATTTTTTTTCAACCTATGAGCTGCCTCACATTTCAAACAATGGCACAATGAAAATTTGAAATAAAAATATGAAACTTGTTCTCACAATATCATACTGTGACACATATCATAAACAGTCTGATAGCAACATTGGTTCATTTATGACAGATAATATAACATAAACTAATCCTCTGTCACTGACCTTTGACTGCATAACAAGTAGCACCACTTCCTTTAGGTTAATTGCCTAGTCGCAATCAGTGGCATTACAGGTGTGAAGTCATGTGATTTCAGTCACCCCAGGTTTTAATTTTACAGCAGTGCTATTCATTACCATTATTAGGAGAAGAGATACAATTATTTTTAGATGCCCCACCTTGGAAGGATCACCAATTCACTCTATTTACAGTCACAAAAAAGTAATGTACTGTTTGCAATTTCTTGGTTTTCTGCATAAATTGGTTATGTAATGTGGTCTGATCCTCACCAAAACCACAAATATCAACAAACACAATATTTCTAAGATGATAAAACACAAACAGGCATGAGCTTTCATGTCTTTATTGAACACACCCATTAAACATACAAAGTGATGGTGGTAAAGTTATGGCAACACTAGGCTTCTGAAGTCAGTAAACGGAGATTGTTGTCCCCTTTGATTGTTTTTTATGCCTTTATTAAAAAGTTAGGTTCAGCTGTCAAACGTAATAATTTCTGCAACTAGTTTTTTATTGGTTTAATTTCATTTTTAATGCTACACAGCAGTAAGCACATCATTTCTCCCCATTCTTCATTGATAGCCCACTAGGTTTGCACCAACAAAAGACATTTATTCATCACATGAGCGTTTTAATCATTAATTTAACATATTTATAATGTAGATATAGTTTGCTTTTCTGCAGATAGATCATTGCACGGTTAACATTTGCGGGAGACTTTTTGAGAGATGCGACTTCTGGGCACGGCGGAAGTTATAAGTGTTTGTAGAAATCGTTCCGTGTGGGAGCAGCATATTTAAGATGGAGACTGTAAACGCTGGCCATATGATGAGCTTAGCAGCTCTACAGAGACAAGACCCATACATAAACAAACTGCTTGACGTTACTGGGCAAGTGGCTCTATACAACTTCAACTCCAAAGCGAACGAATGGGTAAGTTTGTCAAAAGACCTGAAATTGTTTCGTGGGTAGCTATGAAAAGAATGCTAACGTAAAGCGCCCATTTTGCATGCTAATGCTAGCTCCTCGATAGAAACAATAAAATAGCAAGAGATATGTTAAGTATATTAGATATGTCAAACGGCAGCTTAATTATAAATGGCAACAGGCATATTATTCTGGTACCAGTGTTATTCTGCTAGTGGTTTAATTTACTTTTGATTATAGTTTAACGCTAGCGTTATCTCACCTGAGCTAACATAAGTTGGCTAGTAACGCTCGTTGTTATTAAAGTTTTGGATTAGTGGCTGTTGCTGTTTTGACTTGTAACTTCTTATTTCATTTAAGGAGAAGACCGAAATCGAGGGCACCTTGTTTGTTTATGCGAGGTAAGCTTATACGGGGTTTTAAAACGAATGTAACAGGACAACCATGAAGGATGTTTACTTGTTCAGTGTTACGTTTTTTCGCGCTGTCATCTGACGTATTCTGCGCACGTGTGTAGGCCGCAGCCTTTGTAAACAAACATTAACTGCGTTTCTTTACAGACGTATCTTATAGGAATAATAGTATTTTTTGTTATTAATCTACAGTTGTGCACTCAGTAGTTTAACATTTTTGTGGTTTATGTTAATTGTCGACTTTAAAAAAATAAAACGTTTGACTGAGCAACAAAAATACGTTGGAGAAGTTTCAGGCACTTGTGAAAATTGCTGGATGCTTTAAAAATGCCATGAATTGCTTTTATTTATCACTTCTTACAGTGTGCAGTAAACAAGAAGCAAATCGATCCATATTTGTTGTGACCAAATTTGTCCTTGAAATCAATACTGATTCTCTTGAACACAGTTTAACAAAGTTAATAATGTTGTGTGATAGATACTTATTTACACATCTAAATGTTTGCACAGTTCAGTATTTTTGGTTGTAATCTGTTAATAATCTTTGTTCATCTAAGATCTGCCTCCCCTCACCATGGCTTCACCATCATGAACCGACTCAGCACAGAGAACCTGGTGGAGCCGATCAACAAAGACTTGGAGTTCCAGCTGCAGGATCCTTTCCTGCTCTACAGAAATGGCAGCTGTGAGTATTTTGTAGAATGATGCATTATTATTTCATGTCCAGGATCCAGAATTTTGAGTACTTCACTGTTTCTGTCCAATATACACTGGGGGTGGCAGGTGCATGGTGAACACAGAATAGGTCTGTTGTCAATGGCAAGAAATCACTCTAACTAAAAGATGTTTTCATCCATCTGCTCCACATCAGTTGTAGGTGAGGCCCCACTCAATACCAAGCCCAGACAAATTTTAAGGATATGAGTGATGAGAAATGTGACACATCTTTACAGAGAAAATGCTCACCGAGCCTTTATCATCAAACCGCTGTCAAAATGTCAAAAACACTGTAATGTCAGTGGTAGTGTTGTGTATTCTTTTTTTAGCTACAGAGTCTGTTGCAAGAGCAAGTAGACAAATACACAGATCTCACACACACACACACACACACACACACACGTTATTAAGTGGAAAGCTCTAAATGGTACCTTTGAAAATGCTGAACAAACACCTCCTCAGTGTTCTCTGGATCATCTCTTTGTCCATTTGCTTGAAGTCATTTTGGTGTCTGGGAGTCACATTTAACAAGAAAACGTCTGCTGAGACTTTTCCACTCATGGCCTCAAGCAGACAACAGTTTCAGCTTGGTTTGGCTGAAGGTGAAGTCATTCAGCAGCCAAAAAGGCCTGGGTTAGATATGTAAGGCGAGCAGATGTTGATGGCTTTATCCAGCGTGGGGCCAATGCTGCAGTCAAACTCTTCTAGCCTTATGGATATTGTTCAAAAGAGAAGGTGAAAAGAGAGTACAGTGATGCGATTCCTCAGATCTTCAGAAAGTAACTGACAGCGCTGCCGCCGAGGTAATCTACCAGAAGTCTGAACAGCAGCTTTATCAAGGCAATGAATAAGGAATTAGGCTGTTTTCCCATTTGCTTGCTTATCATAAAAAATAACATGGCAATGGTCAGTGTCAGAGAAGGCTGCTCCCCTTTTGAACTTGGTTTGCCCATCAGTCTGGCTGGTATGGAAGACATGATGTAATTTCTTCAGGCCAGAGTAGCTTTACTTGAATTCAAGTGCTGTTATTAGCATTTTAAGTCCTCAGAGTAGGTTGATTTGCATGCAGATCAAACTGGATGCAGTTGTTGGAAAGACGCTGGTTGACAACACACTGCTGATTGTTTCTGAGATTTTACTTCAAACTGGATGCAGTTGTTGGAAAGACACAGGTTGACAACACACTTCTGATTGTTTCTGAGATTTTACCGACCTCTGGTAGCTGGCAGTCTCCTCTGGAAGACTAGCTGTAGTAAGTTCTCCTTGATAGTGTCATCTCCTGGTTTTTATTCCATTGTCTGGTTTTGCCTGGTGTTGTGGATCTGTCAGTCCTTTTGTGTTCTCCAGTAGTGCAACTTATTGACTGAGGATTCTTCAGTTCTTCTCAGGCATTAATTGATCTAACACACTCCAGTCTGTGTTTGTTTTGTGCGACTGCAAAGCTGCAGCTGATGTAGTATAGAGTCCAGAATTCTGATGGAGAGGGATAGGTAAATGCCTCCACAATGGTTTAAAGGCTCCTCCCTTTCGTGAACTAGGTTAAAGTAGAGGAACGATGAAGCAGGAGCATATGATTGAAGCTCAGAGAAATGATAATTAACTTTTGTTTTGTCTCCTTGAGTACTGGTAAACTCACTGCCTCAGGCTGACATGTGTAGTCAAAGTTTAGAGAGATCTGTGTACTTAGAGACACACACACACCACCTGTTTACACCGCTTCATATTCCCATCAGTAGCTGTGGATCCTGCAGGGAGGCAAACACTCCGGTTGCCAAGTTACCACTGCCTCTTGAGGGACCTTGAATACGCCAGTATTTCATCACACACACACAAATGACCCACAAGCAATGTAATACTAACAAAGTACTGTTTCAGCAACAGCTGCAGACAGTTTGGCAGTTTAGTTTTTTCCATTTTACTGTGCAACAAGTAGCCTGTTTCCTTTGGTTGATGGTTTCATTAAAGGGAATTCTATCTCCCTGTGAAAAGAAGTAAATACAACCCCTGCAGCAAAATGAGCCTTTCTTCAAATGTTAATGCACATTTTAGTTTTTGTATTGTAAGTTTATAAAAGGTGGGAAAATGGTAATTGAGGTAAGTACAAAAGTCAGTACTTGGATCCTTGGACAGCTGTCAAGCATGGGCATGGTAAATTACACCTGAACCTTTGAATTAAACTGTATTAAATGGGCCTGGGCAGTAGCTCACATGTGCCTCTGGTCTAATTGTAAACTCAACAATTATTTTTGTTTTATAACCTTTTTGTATGAACAGTTTTTTTCTAATGTAATGGTTCTACAATCCAGCTAGTGTAGACACTATGTAATATACAGTATTTGTTTTTCTTGTAGTGGGTATCTACAGCATTTGGTTTTATGAAAAGAGGGATTGTCAACGCATTGCTCAGCTGATGGTCAAGTAAGTAGCCAGCCATGTATATACACTTTAAAAAGGAAAAGAGTTGAGAAAACCTAAAAAAAAGTAAAGCAACCAACTGCAACACCTTTTTAAGTTTTCCTCAGCTAAAGGATTTTGTTGTACTAAAGTTGAAATTACTTAAAATTAGCAGTCAGGTCAACTCAGTCATGTTTGTTGTGCTGAAATTTAAATCTGCAAACAGCAAATCCTTTGAGCTTGAAATTGCAAATTGACTCAAATGTTTGGTCACATGGACTTAACCAAGAAAGACTTTAACCGGAGAAGCAGATTTCCCCACAACTAGTGGGTTATTCCTAGCTTTTCTTCATCATGGTTTTCATAGAAACAACTATGGCTTTATTTAATAGCCTATGTTACAAACACAAAGAAGGTTTCCACCATGAATGGGCTCTTCAAAATGCATATGGAAGAGTTTCTCCAGTGTTAACTCAACAAATGGAAACATTATGATCACAAGATTTCTCAACTTGTATTTTTAACCTGACTGAGGTATTACTTAGAATTACATTATAAACTTCTTATTTTGAGTTGGGTAAAAAAAACAAACATTCTAATTATTGTTAACTTTGCAAAGCAAATGACAGTTAGGTGAGTGGACAGTGTGTGAAGCTTTCTCCCTGCCCCAGGATTGTGAAACAAGAAGCGGACCTTGCCCAGAGAGAGTCACCCGAGCGGGCAGATTCAGGGAGAACCAACGGTGTCACAGACGCACGGCCCATTGACATCCTGGAACTACTCAGCAAAGCCAAAGAAGAATACCAGAGAGTGAGGAGGCAATCACATTTTGCAGATACAAGCATAACCTGTTATTTAGGTTCTTAGATGAGCACATACAGTATACTGTGCTCATTACTTCTTCCCTACATACAAAAACATGAACTTAGATCAGAGACTTCAAATGGCCTGAATAAATATCAAACACTAACTCAGAATTTGGTGAGTGGGCTCTAGGTGTTTTTAAGTAATCGGTACCTCGTGTGCAGTGACTGAAACACTTTCACAGATACACGGCCTCCCGAGTCTCATGCATATTTGAAGCCGGTTTTCCACCAGAAGATCCCCTGTACTTCTTATTCCAAAGAACTACAGCCCAAGAATTATCCCTAGGGTAAAAGACCCTCAAGCACATTGTGATGCGCATGTTCACAGCAGGGCTGAAGCCCAGGGAAGATTAAACAAATTTACGGTTGGCAGCTGGTTGTAAGAATGCTGCAGCAGTAGAGGACAGACTGTAGGCAGAACTGAAAGGATTGCTTTTCTTTAGTTTATGCTTACTTACCGAGGTTTTATTGCATGTACAGTACGCCAAAGTTGTATTTTCCAATCCACTGATCTCAGGTAGAGCGGGTCATTTCCTAACCGGAGGATTAGCGGTTCGATTCCCGGCTTGTCCAGTCAACATCTCGAAGTGTCCTTGAGCAAGACACTGAACCCCCAGTTGCTCCTGGTGATAACACCAGTGTGTGAATGTGTGAGTGTTTGTGAGTGCAAATGAGTGAATGGCCAAGTAGTGTGAAAGCGCTTTGAGTGTGCTGTAAAGCAGCGAAAAGCACTATACAAGTTTAAGACCATTTGTGTAGGCCTTCTGATAAAATGCTCCTTATAAACAGAAAATCCAAAGCAACAAGGAGTGTATCAGTTTGCCCAAATCACTTTTCTCACTGAATTTCTTTTTTAATTTTATATAAATACTTGCATATGTGAGTGAAATGTTCACACCGCGGAGCCCCGTATTTAACCAGTCAGCGACGCTTAGGACTGATAGTTGGATCTTCAGAAAGTACTACCCCTCGACTAGGGGACATTTTTTTTTTCCAAGAGGGAGAACTACACCCCCAGGACAAAATTTAGACTTTGGAAACACAGGTAATGGAACTACGTTACCAAAAAGGGTTCCTGTTCCCAGGGGAAAAGTTCCTCTGGTGGAAACGTGGCATGAGATTACAGTGGTACTAAATCTGGGATTATTACAGGTGTGTGGGTGTCTGTTTAAAATGCTTCGAGGTGAAGTCTGAACTGATATCTATTACAGCTACTTAATCCTTGCTTTTGGTCTGTATATTTAACCTCAGCTTGTTTAAAAAAAAAAATTAAAAAAAAACTGGCATTACCATTTATTTTTTCTGTCTGTGTGTGAGATGCAGGCTCAAGCAGGTGAAACAGATGTGTCTACAGAGCCAAATATGAAGGCAGCTATCAGTTCTACAGAGCTTTCCCACAGCACACCACAACCTGAAAAGGTATATACTTTACACAAACACATGTACAAAGGATTATTTAAGCCCAGGGCTGTTTATTTGTTAATTGATACCATCACATTTTGAGATTGTTATCGTCCTGTTCATTCCTACATGGAAAGAAGGTGCACACTTTTATCCCAGGTTATCGCTTTACCCAAATATATGGTTTTAGTGTTTGGCAGCAGCAGGATGCTGATAATGTTGGTTATGTTGCAAACAGCCAGATGGACTCGTTCAATCCATGTCACTGCTGCCAGTACTGCTTGCTTTGTCTCTTGGGTTAATATGAGGTGACGGGCAAATTATTGTTTTGACTAAGATGGGAAAAGAAATATAGCAACAGTGAATATTTGGAGACACCTACATTATTATTATTTTTTTTTTTATTCAGCAGATTCAGTTAAAATAATATGTACTTCATTGAAGTGTCAGCTTTTAAGTAGATTCATGTTAATGTTGAAAGAACTACAGTATGTGAGCGATATACCCCTTTTAATACATAGTGCCTTCATTGCAAGGGTTCAAAAGTAACTGGACATTTGGACACTGACTCTTGGGTAGCTGTGTTTCTTTTCTACTATTAGTTTATGCATGAAGGTTCACACTTCATTCAGAGATGAGGGTTCAGGTTCTTAAAAAAAAAAAAAAAAAAAACCAGCACAAGCACAATGCTAGTTGTGCTGGATGGGCATGGCTTCCGTTCCAGTTGAATTTGGTACATGCCCCTTGTGCACACATGAGGCCATGTCAAATCAACAAAACAACATGATAGAATGGTGATCAGAAGCCCACGGCTTGTGATTATGAATCAGAAGGCATTTGAATATTACCTAGAAATATCACACTGGGCTTGACAAATCATTCTTTGGCCTAAATTATGTAAAATGATGGTTGAATGTAGTTAAAATCGCATTCGATATTACGGTGGTGTTTTGCTATCTGGGCTTCTTGTGGCGGCATTCAGTCAGTCGTGTTTTTTTGTAGGCTGTTCACTTTTTGTTCAAGAGCAGACACCCCATGTGTCTTAATATGAAAAACTCACCTATTTTCTGGAATTACCATTATCAGCTAATGGAAATCAACGCCTCATGTGCCACCTGCACTCCATTTAAGTGTTTTTCCACCCTTTCCACTACATAACAAGTGGCATGCCGACACGGGCAAATGGAAGACAGCCTTAGAGATGACATTTAGACTGAGGTGGAGTTGTCTGTCAGCATGAGGTGTAAACAGGCAGCCATGCAAGCAAATTTTAGAAACTGAACCAAGCAGATGTGGTATTTTGAATTGATGGACAATTTAAACAGCTGATTATCAAAATACTTACTAGTTTCCTGTCGACTACTTAGTGTTTCAACACTGCTTTGCTCTTTTCACCCTCCAGAGCTCTCGTACAATAGTGAAGCAGATAACAGTTGAGGAGCTCTTCGGCTCATCCCTCCCAAAAGACCCCACTCTACCTCCCATGCCTGCACAGAACACCACCACCACTTCCAGTGACCCCTCCACTGCCTACATCCAGAGCCAGTCTTATCCCACTCCATCCCCCCAAAACCCACTCCTCCCTCCCCACCTCACAACTCAAAATTCCAGGTCCAACCAGCTACACCAAGCCCCTGGCCTGCTTCCAGCACCTTATGCCCTATATCCCAGTCCTGTTTTCCAGTCAGGAGTCTCCAGATCAGACCCCCAGCCTCAGTGCTCAGTTTCCCCCCTCATGGTACCTCCAACTGGCTCAGAGCCCCGTGCTGCTCCCCTGTGTCCTGCAACACCTCCAACAGCTCCTGCTTCATATTTAGGACATGAAATACTAGGCGCACTCAAACCAGTAGTGCGTACTGTGAATTCAGACATCCACAAACCCATTCTCGCACCCACGCTGGTCCCCCCCCACAGCTTCCAAGAGCCCATGGGGAAAGCCCTTCTCCAGCACAGCAAAGATATGGATGTTTTCTCTCAGCCTCCAAACCTGATCAACCCGATTTCTGTGAGTTTAAGGGTTTTCTTCTAAGTATTTTTGAGGATCTGTTTGCTCATATCATCCTCATCATTTTCTTGTTTCTCATGTATGCTTTTATAGTGAAATGAAGTGGCATGATTGTAATCCAGTATGTGTTGTTTTTGTGTGTCATTTCTCCTCATGTGACTGTTGTTTTCCCCCTTCTATTCTCAGGCGGTCCCCATGAATCCAGGACTTGCTGTTCGAGGACCAGAGATGTCTGTGCTTCTCTCCCCCAGCGCCTTCCAACAGTCCATCAGTAAGACAACAGCAGCATCATCAGTGGTTCTTCCTTCCCCCTCTGAGTCCTCTTCCACCTCAGTAGGAGCTGTAGAGCCTCCAGCAGCCCTCTACAGCAAAAAACAGTTACAGGAGACTCTGATACACCTCATTAAGGTACACCAAGGGCGTAAAACATGTGAAAGTGTACTGCCGGCATCTGGTAGCATGGAGGATAATAATAATAATAGTAATAATTGCCTTTGTTGTCTGGAAAACAAAAGCTAAAAACGTGAAATCCTTTGATTCATTCCAGTTCAGCTGTGTTCTAGATTTAAAGTAAGGTCCCCCCTGTGTAACAGCAGCTGGTTTATTTTTTGCCTTTAACTCTGATTTGCCTATAGTTGAACAGTTTTGTTTACTCCAATCTTTTTTTACCTCCACCCCTTCTAGAATGATTCAGACTTCCTCAGCGCCATTCACGATGCTTACCTGCAGACTCTGTCCAAGGACAACATGAAGCTATAGTCCTACTTCAACCATCACCACTACTTTCAGCGCTATGATCCTTTTATTACTTGTGAAAAGATCACGAGCTGCAGCGAGCAGGTTTTTGACACGCTCTACACCAGAACTAGTCAGTATTCTAAGGATTATTACAGCATGCACTGCAATATTAGTTGTAATGTTCTTGACTCTGAACTTTTTTTTGAGTCCTTAACTTGAACACCGATCTTGTCCTGCCATTAACTTGGATCAGCTTTTTGTCTGTGTGTGTCAAAGCAGAACTACTTTGGGAGAGAAGGATGATAGTTTCACAGTGTGGCCTTGCATTTTCTTTTTTACTTGAGAAAAGAATTACATTTTTGGCCATGTACTGGTAAGTGTTAACTGTTGCTTGTTTAATTGTGTCAATGAAAAGAACACAGTGGAGATTGGGTGAGCTCGTATTTCACTTTTGATGTTTGGACAGACAAATTTGCAGCTTGAGTCACAGATACTCTTTGTCACGTGAGAGTAAGGGAATATTTTTAACACACTTAAACTGCGACTTCGTATTAAAACCTTGGTGCTGGGGACCTCAGAACTGTTTTGGGGGTCTTTGCAGACAAACTGTCCACAATGTGGTGTTAAAGGACTACTCGATAACACTGAAGCCTGGACATTTTTGGTAGTACCACACATGCATTGATCAGACCATAGTTTTTGTGACATTTTATTAGTGTCTCTTAATAAGGAGGAAGTTGATGAGGTTTTTTTTTCTTCAACCTGTCTAAAGAAGATTAAGGATTTCCATAATAGTCTTCAAAAGCACTTGCATCTGAGAGCCCAAACTAAGAATCAGTTCCTCTTGGCTGCCCTTTTTTTTAAATTGTGACATTGCAGACTGACATGTTCTATAAGACACAGACAAGCTAACGCTCAAAAAGGTTGTGCCACCTTTCCTTTTCTTGATTCCTGCTCTATCGTTCTTTGTTTTTCTTCTCATCTGTGGCTCTCCTCCACCAACTGAGATCACATGACTTGATGTTGGAAGAGAATGTGCAATAGACACTTTTAGGAAGACCAGCATTTTCTGATATATTAGGATGGTACGATAGAGCTAAGTTTATTGGAACATCTCGGTTTTTGCAGGAACTCTGTAATTGGAATATCACAAGCAAAAAAAAATATTTTAATTTGGAATTTTTGTTTGTTCACCATTAATATTAAATTGCTTAAAACTGGGGGAGATGATGTGCTTTAGAAAAGCTTCAGTCAGTTTCAAACTGGTTGTGTTTATAACAGTAATCCAAACTACTATGAAGAAGATAAACTGCTTCTGTTCTCAAACTATTTTTCCAAGCCACAGATGGGTCCCAAGTCACAAAGACTTAAACACGAGATCACTTGTGGTTATATTTGCCTTTTTTGCAGTAAAATCTACTGCAGCACAGAACTGTAAACCCTGCAAACCACAGTGGGATCGAGAAGAAGCACATCTGTCTCTTTGTGTACAATACTGAGTGTCTACGGGTGTAAGAAAACTGATCTAATGTAGATTGGAAAATCAGCTGTCAAAGATATAGAAGAAAAGATTTAATCTGTGGTATGTTTTTGTATGAGACTTTCTTTTGCATGTTTAGGTTTAATTCACCTTATCACAAACTCTTCAGCACATACAGGCCCATGAAGACAGATTAAAAATAATGTAAAACCGTTCATTATATAAGGTTTTCTAATAAATGAAACAGTGAAGTGTGATGTCAGTAGTTGGCTCGTCACATGGCAATTGGCTAAAGAATCAAGTCATTCCACTTGCACATTTTTTGTTGTTTGTAATTTTGAAGTGCAGAGAATGAGGCTTGAAATTTTTCATTTCCGGGCAAGAAAAAAAAAAACTTAATCAAATGTTCTATTAGAAACAACTGGTATTAATGGAACAAGTGTGATGAGTTGATGGATAATACACACAATGTATTTGGTGCCTTTATTTGAATGTCGTCGTTTACTCGTACTGTTAGCAACCATCTTGTTTTACTATTGTTCTGTGCTTAAGCTGAGCTCCGATCTACATGTTTTCAGTACCAACTGTTAGCCCCTCCCCTTTTTTGCAAAATTTTAGTTTTCATGCAATTTACTTTATTGCCCTGTTTTTTGTTTTATTTTTATTTTTTTTATTTTTTTCCCTGAGGTGATTTTACCAACACTTCTGGCATGTGTTGGTTGAATAAACACACACAGGAAGAATGACTGAAATGTAGAGATCCTGGTGGTCACATATTTAAGGTTTTACAGTCATTTTATGCTTTAGTATAAATTCTTATTGGCCAGAGAGATGATTTTGGAAAAATCTTTGCATTTTCATTAATTTACATAAATTTTCTAAGATTGTTATTGTGCATATTTTGGTTTGTTTTGACTATTTTGTGATATTAAAATTTAAAAATAGAATTGTCTGTTTTTGTTTGCTACTGTGAAGAACTGACATTTTGAACAGTTTCTTCCAACCTCACATCCAATAGAGGAGAGTGGTATCATTCCTCTATTTGACCACCAGATGTCAGTAGCAGCTTAGTTACAGCTACTAGGTTTGTACTGTATATGATCCATGTAAGGCTGTATTGCAGTAGAGAAATTGATCTGGGAGTAGTTCTGACAGCTCTGGACTGAATGTGTACTGACCAAGTGTGAATGAATATCTCTTTTTAAATAGAGAAATTGTGATGAAGCAGTTTCACCAGTAGAAGGTGTATTGTTTCCCCTCTGAATCACCCTCCCCATGTCCCTGACTGGCCAGATGTGGACATTATACAGTCACTGGTAAAGGTTATGCTTGATTTCTCAAGGTCACAAGAGAAAAGGTTAGCCTGCTAAAAATGAACCTAATACACTATTACTAAAATCAAATAGACATAACAAGCTTCTATAGGAGAGTAAAAAAAATGTCAACCTCTGGCAGTCTGTCATTATCTGAATGTGCATGTTAACAGGCGTAGGTCATTTGTTCTGCAGGTAGTCTGGTCAGCCTCTGTGGGGAAATGTCCTTACTTTACTGAAAGGGGTGATAATTCTTTGTTTGGATGTAGTTTTTACAACGTGGTGTGTGTTTGCTTTAAAAGTCTAAATTTGAACCCTTTGTTCACCGCTTTATGTTAAATTTCTTAAAATGCCATATGCATTTGGATGTAAAGCATTATTTCTTGTTGATAAGGGAACAGATGGTGTAGTCGGAGCATCTGAGAACCTCCGTGGTACTGTGTATGTGTATTTTCTGTCCTGAATTTCCGTAACTTTCACTCAAGTCGTCATATAGTAGGCGTGACTGTGTGTGAGCGTGCGCCTGCGTTTGCCATTGTGCGTGTGGCCTTGGTTCCAGCCCAAAGCCGTCCTACTATTGGTTGTGCCCATGTGTGACAGTGTAGACTAACTGAAGACTGGTTTTAGAGGATGATTAGCATATTCATAGGCTTTGCTTGCAAACGCACCCCCTCCCTCCTCCTCCTCCTCCTCCTCCTCATCCTCCCCTGTCTCTTCAGGTTCAGCATTTTTTTGTGCCATCCGCCGCCGTCTTCACTCTGGGGACACCACACCTGGTACTTCTGACTCTGTTTAACTGGCTTGTGTTTTCGTACGTGTGGTCATATTTGGTGCGTCGGCCAGATGGAGGACTACCACAAACCAGATGGGCAGACTGTGCAGGCGCTCAGGAACATCGCCACCCGGCTCCGAATCAACTCCATCAAGGCGACAACTGCAGCGGGAAGCGGGTAAAGGCGAGAGATTAGTTGGATGTATATATTTGTATGACGTAACACACTTGGTTAATGTCCTGGGCCGGTTTTTATCTGATTAATGTACATGTCTGAAGGACAAATAGAAGTAGAAGAGAAATGCGTAATTAGATAAATGACACTTCATTTACTTATTGTGCGTCGCAGAGAGCATGCTGGACCTATGAAGCTATGAGTTTATTATATTGCACTTGCGGAATATATGTAATAATAATTAGCCTATTATAATTATGTGCTACCATGTGTGTGTGTGTGTGTGCGCAAATTACGCACTTCCAGATATGGGAACTGTCAGATATAAAGGTTCAAGAGTCCATTTAAGGCTACTTGTCATTTTCACATCTGGATTTCGGATTTGGTCCAGTGTTCCGCGACCAGGATTTAGAGCCGACGAGATTTAATGCATTTCATTAAAGGCTATTAAAAGTTTGGCAAGCGCCACTTAAAACATTTATTGAACGTCGGATTTGGAGGTTCGGTCAAAAATTATTACTGAAACAACGGTGCTGCGCTCCTTATTGATTATGTAACAGGAGGAGCAGAGACCCAGTCGGTCCTGTGCGGCTTGTGCGGGGGGGGGGACGTGGTGTGTGGAGTTGAACAGGGGAACGCTCGGACCCGGGCTTCGCCCGCGCCTGCGTGCCACAGTGCAGCGCGTCACACCACTGTTAAGAAGCTACTACAATTTCATAATAAAACCCGAGTTCACTCCAACGTTTCTGGAGTGATAGAAAGTTAAAAAGAAAAAAAAGAAGTGATGTTGTCAGATGAGTGAAACAAATTCACCCAAGCTGACTGTCACCATTTGCCAAAGGTTCCACAGAGTACAAAGCAGGTTAGAGAATTAGACAAGCCTGTTACTCTTGCCAATAAGCTGCTTTGCTTGGCATGAGTTATTTGATTTCTTATGGTGTATGAGTATTGTTTATTAAGATCTGGATAAGTTACTTTTCTGTGTAGAGTCATTTGAAACCAGCTTCTGTGGACTTTGACCCAGAGAACATCTGTTCCTAGTAACCTGAAGACTGAGCCAGTTGATGTCAAGTTGATCATAACATATTAACAGATGGAAATCTAGTTTGAGATGGTTCATTTAAAATAATATCTAAGGTTAATATAATGTCTAAAAGCCTTTATGGAGCCAATCTGAGTGATGTATTAATGACATGTGGCTTGTAAATAAAGTGGAAAATAGCATGCATTGCCTGTTTTGTCTTCTGTTCTCATGACTTTAATAGTTTGGGACTGCACACTGAATAATGGCTTCACACTGTATGTATATGTGAGTAAAAGAGTGATGCAGGCATCATCCAAATACATTTACAGTAATGTGAGAGAGAGCTATATACTGTATATGTACTTAGTGACTGCCTGACCCTGATAAATTCAGTCTGACTAGCATGCCACCTGCCCTGTGTAACTCTGGCTACAGTTTGTTTGGCATGAATTAACAAAGTTGACAGTCATTCAAACTCTATGTTCAATCATCATTTTGTTCATCTTTTTCTCTCTGACCCGTTTTTTTTCTCCCCTCCTATATCTGTGTGTGTATAGTTTGTGTGTGTGTGTGAACATGGTTATAGATTTGAATTGAGGAATCAGGAAGCACATAACAATGTACTTTTTTCCCCCCCCAAACTTTAATTCCTCTCTCTCTCTCTATGTATGTATATGTGTGTGTGTGTGTGTGTGTGTGTGTGTGTGTGTGTGTGTGAGAATTACAGGGGGGAAAAACCTTGTAGTCCAAACTATTCATCCTCCTACCAACCTGCCTTGCACATACACAAATTCAGTAATTAATAAAAGTAAATACAATTATTCAAAAAGATCCATCTTAATACAGTTCAGAACCTCACTGATACATTCTTGAAGTTTCTGTGGTGAAATGTGCTTCATTTTAAGACGATGGGACATCTGGCCAACAATGTAGTGAAAGTGAGTCACCTTTCCACTGGGCCAGACAGGTGGTCATCTGCAGTCTACCTAAATCTTCCTCCCACTTGTCTCTTGACATAAGTTAGAGGACCTAGCTTGGCATAATTGAGTGAGTTATATATGACAGAAATTGCACACTTTGAAAGTTTTACTTTGACTGCTGTGTCTTTGGTTGCAGTCATCCCACATCATGTTGCAGTGTGGCAGAGATCATGTCTGTGCTGTTCTTCCATACCATGAAGTACCGACCTGTAGACCCCCGTAACCCCAATAACGACCGCTTCATCCTCTCCAAGGTAATATACTACATTAAAAAGTGTCAAAGGTGTGCAGACCACCTATTTATATAAGGTTGTTCCATGTCATGTAGTCTATGTATTTCCTGCTCCTGGGTTATCTAATAAAAGCGATTTTAAACTTGAATGGAAATTTATTTTTGTATAACTTAGTTCAAACGCCTGTATGAAGACTGTTGAGACTAATATTATATAATGATGAGCATGTGTGATGTTCCTGAGTATGTGGGGCTATGCTTGCATTCCTTGTTTTTCTGCACACTGCTTTTCAGGGATGTATTTATGCCAGTTGGGCTCTTATTACATCACTCATTACTTAGTGATGTTATTAGAGTGACACAGAGAAGTACGTGTTTATATCCAGCAGACTGAACTAAGTAATGCCCCCCTATCTGGTCTACCCAAAACAGTTATAAATCAGTTACACTTGAACGCTGACCAGTACCACATTATAGCTGGTTTAGTCCTTATATTGGTTGCCTGTTAGCTTCTGTATTGATTTTTTTAAATTCTTTTACACATTATAGTCTTGCACCAGCCTACTTATCTGACATTCTTCCGGTATATGAGCCAGTATTAGCTCTTATTAGATCCACTGGCATGAGTCTTTTACTGTAGCTGTTACAAAGTGCAGGACTTATTGAAGCAGCTTTTAGTTTTTACGCTCCTGACATCTTGAAGAATTTGTTTATATTTGCTTATATGCACCACCTCAGGGTCACGCAGCTCCTGTGCTGTACGCTGTGTGGGCAGAGACAGGCTACCTGAAGGAGAACGAGCTCCTCAACCTCCGCAAGGTTGACTCCATCCTGGAAGGCCATCCTGTGCCGGTGAGGTCCTGTAGGAGGTTCTGGATTGTGAAGCTCATGTATTCCAATATAGGAACACATAGTTTATATCATAAAAACATACTTTATGTGCCACTCTGTGTGTTGATTTTAAGTATTTTTTGCAAGTATAGCTTTCAAAAAGTGGTTTTCAACCTGGGGATTGAGATCATCCAAGGGGGCTGCATGTAACTATGATTATCAGCACAATGAAAAAGAAGACTAAATGTCTTTCACAAAATTATTTACCTTAAAGCCAAAAAGTCTTTCAGCGATTGCCATAGTACGCAACGTGTAATTGCTGTGCATTCCGTACATGAACACATTTAGTTAACTGACACGCTGTAAGCAGAGGCATAGTGACAAAGATGTTTTGTGTGACAGAGATGGTTCCTTTCTCCTCTGCTATAGACATCACACTGTGTTGACATAAGCTACAGTCCTAACTGGTCCTACTTTTTCTTACACATTAAGAAGTTAAAAATAATTTGTCCACTCTGCTTCATGCTTCCTGTGTTTGCCTGTTAACAGAAGCAGCAGTTTGTGGATGTGGCTACTGGATCGCTGGGTCAGGGACTGGGAGCTGCCTGTGGAATGGCCTACACTGGAAAGTACTTTGACAAGGCCAGGTAACCTACACAAAAACACACTCGTATACACACCAACAAATTATTCCCAAAAAGATGTTCACACAGATTCGTCAACGCGCACAAGACATGTAGGAGGAGCACAACAGCCCAGATTGCATCTGCACATATTAAGGCAGACAAAATGAAATTATACATGGCATATGTATACTTCAGCGAGCTGTGCTAACAATCAACATTTCAGCCTGTATAACACTGTACTGACGGGCCTGGTCTGGGGTGACTTCTATGCAGCTGCTCAGAAAGCCAAGAGAGCTGACCTCAGTTGTTTTACCTTCAGATCAGGATGAATGAGGGTATCTGCTCAGTAATCTGAGATCAGAAATGGCTCCAGGAAGAGATCAAGTAGTAAAAGAAACCACCAATAAGGATTACTAGTTTCTCTCTTCACTAGAGTAGAACTTGAAGATGCAGTGTGTGAGATTCAGTGACATCTAGGGATGAGCCCTCACAGTCGTTTCATAGCAATTATGGTAAATATAGGACAAAAATGCACACTTGGAAAAGAAGCGCAGCTGACTTGATCAAGTAGAGTGCTCAAAGCAGGCCCGGTCACCTGAATACAGCAGCTAGGAATAATGGAATAGGATTCTGGGTCTATTTTGTGGGTTTTCTCTCTGAACTGGGGCCGTGATTAAGAGGGACGGCCAGGGGCATTCGTATTGTGCCGCTAGAGGTGAAATTCTTGGACCAGTGCAAGACGGACGAAAGCGAAAGCATTTGCCAAGAATGTTTTCATTAATTAAGTTCTCAATGGCTCACTTTGCCTCAGTGGGTTACCCAGCGCTGGACATGTTCTAGCTAAAGCTAACAAACAGAAACTTGCATTTAGTTTAACTTTACTTATTAGGCTGAGTTACCTTTCCAGCAGAAAACAGGCAAGTTCAGCATCGTTTTGGAAACATCTGTACCTCGTCAAGGATTTCCATCTGGGAAAGGACACACTAATGTTTATCTTCTGCCATCACCTATCCCGTTACTTTGTGTCTTTGAGAATGGGGATTCACACTGTCTTCCTTTTTCTGGGGTTAAAATATAATTATGATGCTCAGTTTCTTAAAATTATAGTGTAGTTCTTAAAGTCAGGGCAATGCTTGCTCTTGTTTCTAACATTACTTCTTCCAAGTGTCTCTAAATAATTACTCAAAATCCAAGATGCTAGTTCAATGTGAAATTCATGCTTTAGTGGCAGTGTGTGGTTTGTCCATTCTGGGCTACTGTAAAAACATGGCGGGCTCCATGATAGGGGGCCCACTCCTATGTAGGTATAAAAGGGTCATTCAAACAATATTCTACTTTTATTACGATTAAATTTTTGTTAAAGTGCCCATGGCATGCTTTTCTGTGTTTTCTGACTCATAGACAATGTTACAGCAACAAATTTGCATCTTAAATGTGACTGAAAGCTCAAAAAGTGAGGTGTACCTATGTTGTTGTACTTCTGTGCAGAGGCAACTCAGTTTATACAAGTCTCACAAACTCTCACTGGTGAGATCGGTGATCTCCTTACAAAAAATGTCTGTATATGCTGTCAATTACAATTTTCAGAAAGAAGAAAATCAACAGGTCAAATAACATATATATATTAGAAATCACAATTGGCTCAAAGTTGCAAATTAAATGAGAAGAATAACAGTAATTGTTCAATTCAATTTTAATTTAAAAAAGAGCAGCACCATATGTCCAGTTTATTCTGCAGCCTTTTGTATGTAATGTTCCAATATTTTCGAGCTTTGTTGTGTTAACAAGCACGTAGTGCACATTTTAACTACTCTTCAGCTGAATATTAACTGCTTTAACAGATCAGTCCATGTCTCCTTATTCTAGTGTGATCTGGAAACAACCACATAGGTTTCAGTCCAACAATAGGCAGACCACACGGTCCATAGTAGGAGACAACACATTCCATCTCTGTCAGGAACATGATTTGACACATTTTATTGTCAACAGAAGGAGAGCAACTTAAAGCTGGTTTTGGTTTTGCACACGCAAAACAGACAGGGAGTACTGTACTTGTAGTCTGAGGTGACTGCCCTTCTCTCTCTGCATTCTCGATTGCACGCGATTGTTTCTGCTCTAATAATCACACATGCAACAGCACCATTCCTCCCTCATCTCTCTGCCTGTGTTTTTAACACCCTCTTCTCTCCAAAAAATGAAAAAACACCATGCAGTGTTTCTGATGCACCTATGTATACATAGTAGGTTATGTTGTGTACGCATGTGATTGTGCGATGCTGGGAGCTGCTTGTCAAGCTAATTCAGGGCTACATCACTGGTTTCACAACCTGAAGTGAGGCAAAAACTGCTGAATGGCAACTAAAACCATCAACAACTTTAATTTTGTTCACATTTTAAGTTATTTCTGGTCAAACTGTAGCAGGAAATCTTACAAATAACCAAACGGTCCCATAAGTGTCTCTTAGGGTGTGGTTTCTTAAAACACTGACACTTGAATGAACCTGTCAAATGAACTTACTGTATGAGCAGTGCTACAATGAGACTGAATAACTGACACTCATTATTGCTTCGTGCCTGTGTGACTCTGGTTCAACACTCAGTTATTAACATGCAAGCATGAGATTATTGAATAAAACGCATGCACGCTTTCTCTTCATGCTCATTCATGTGTTGGACCAAACCCACGACTATAACCAGCTTATCAAAGAGTGCATTTGACTGGAAGTTTTCTTGTGTGTTAGTTTTGTATTTGCAGGGTGCAGTGATGTACAATAAGTGACACAGTGAAGTTGGTGTATGTATCTGGCAGTTTGACGGGTTTGGGCTGTTTTTAAGGAGAGGTATCGCCTTGTCTTGATCAGTTATTCTCACCTTGCAACAACAGGATAAAATTAAGAGGAACACACAAATCCCCTGAGGGACTGCTTTACTCCTGTCACTGGATATTCTTTGAACTACTGCATGTGTGTGTGTCCCAGAATGTAACTTTTACTATGGACACACACATTTTTGAAAACCTTTGAATTGAAAAGTAGAGAAAGCTTTACTTTACTATGTTAAACACAGTGACAGGAACATTGGAAAACCATTATAATACATTCAATTACAGTGTATATGGAGCAGTGTTGCAGTCGAGGCATTAAACCTCAAGTCCAAGTCAAGTCTCGAGTCCCCCAATGGTCAAGTCTGAGTCATCAAGGTCATCATTAAATACGAGCAACCCAGCTCTCAACATTTTATATTCCAAACTGTCTAACGCTGTATTATGTCACTGTATTGCTCAGCGATTTGATGCATTAAAAATCATTTATAGAAAAGCAGAGTGTATACTTCAGTGGAAGTGTGCCGGATACTGCATGGTGCTGGTGAACAGGTTTTAATACCGGCATCCTATGCCAAATTATTATGGCCTATTACAAAAAAATCCACATCTCTAACTTCTGAGTCCAAATGCACTCAATGCTTGAGACCGAGTCCTCTTCATTTATCCCGTGAAATGAAGTTCTTCTGTTATATTATGGATAGTTTGACATAAACAGAGGACACATTTCAGAAATCAACCCGCAGGATCTAGAGATCAGTTTAAATTTTTTCTGTCTCAGCTCTCTACCTCTTTTCTCTTCCTTTCTCTATCTCCATCTTGCGGAATTCCTCTCTTCTCTTCTCCCCATCTTCCTCTCTTTTCTTTGTGTGCTGTGTGTTTGTGTGCTCAGGGTTGGAATGCGTGATTTAATGCAGCGTGTTTAGGCCCACCTTCCAGCTTTAATGACAATGAGTATTTGACTGGAAAGCTGTCAGAAGTCATTAGGCCACAGGAGCAACTAGTGAAAATAAGTTGAGTGTGACAGCGGAGCAAAGTGTGTGTGTGTCTGTGTGTGGCAGATGGGAAGATCTGCCAAGAGGGAAAATGGAGCCGATATGGAAAATAACCTCATCACTAACCATCTGTCTTTATAAGCTCTAAATTTACCTGATTATGAAATCTCTCTTTCTTTGTTGTAGCTATCGGGTGTACTGCCTGCTCGGGGATGGAGAGTTGTCTGAGGGCTCGGTGTGGGAGGCCATGGCTTTCGCCTCACACTACCAGCTAGACAATCTGGTGGCCATCTTGGACATCAACCGCCTAGGTCAGAGCGACCCGACTCCACTGCAGCACCATGTGGAGAAGTACCAGCAACGTTGTGAAGCCTTCGGGTGAGGGGGAAGTTCAAAGAGTGAGGGTGAAGGTTGAGTTAAAGTGTTTGTGCCTCTATATGCATAAACAACACATGTAGAACTCTGTTTGAAGTTTGAACTCCTGGGTCTTCCCAGCTGGCATGCCATTATTGCGGATGGCCACAATGTGGAGGAGCTGTGTAAGGTGCTGAGTCAGCCTTGCCACCAGCCACTTGCCATCATCGCCAAGACCATTAAGGGCAAGGGCATCCCAGGTAATCAGTCACACAGTAGTTTGCAGTATGTGAGGTCAAATGTCACTGCGGTGCTATCCTGTAATGGGTGGATTTAATTCTCAGTAGGTTTTATGACAGGACACTGGGCGTTTGTTGCTTAACTTGTACCAAAAACTGGTTTCCAGAGGATGATTAGGTAAAACGAAGGCAACTGTCAGAAGCCATCTTAACTGCCCCAGGAACTTGCCAGCAGCATGGAGGGCCCTTGACTCAATGTATTCCCATCATTGCTTTAATATTTTAGCTGCTCACACTCAGTAATCCCACAGAATGTGCAGGATACACTTGCAGCAACAGCCCATTGTACTTGTGTTGTGATAAGAGCAAGGGGGAGTGTTCGGGTATTAGTGCATATGTGAGGGGCAAAAACAGAGACATAAAGAAAGCTGTGTGTAAGAGAGGAGCATGTGTTTGTGTGCATAGGACTGTGTCAGTTACTGTAAGTGATGTTATAAACCTGTGGCCTCTTGAATCTTGCATATGACCTTCGAAGTAGCTTGTTAATACAGTATAGTATGTACATTTATTTTATTTTATATGCTCAAAATGTTACCTAAAATCATTATTACCACAATTGTGTAATCTCCAAAGACCCCCGAACTCTTTAGAATTATGCATTAGTTTAGCTTTATAATATATGCCACTGTTTAGGAACTTAATGACTCAGGTGAAATGTAAAAATTGTATTCTTTAATCATTTTTATTCTCATGTGTGCTGTACAGTAAAATGTTTTTACTTAATGTGTCAGTAAATAGAAAATCCACACAGATAATAAAATGATAAAAATATGTATTTTTAATTAGTTCTAGTACTCAGGCATGTTTTTTATGTGTGCCTTTCAGCGGCTGAGGATAAGATGGGCTGGCACGGTAAACCTCTGCCCAAAGACATGGCTGAGAGTGTGATCAAGGAGCTGCAGAGACGCATCGTCAGCTGCAACAAGCGTCTCTATCCTGCTCTGCCCATTGAAGACGCATCACCTGTCAGCCTCCGCAACATCCGCATGCCAAGTGCACCCAGCTACAATCCTGGAGACAAGGTCTGATCAGTGGTGGCAGATAAGCTCAGACATTTTGAATGATCTTGAACTCAGTCATTTGGGTTTTAAATTGTATGTAACACTGAGCTAAACAAATAAACGTGCATTGCTTTTTAAACAAAATACAACTGAGCTTTAGTCAAGCTACTATACAGTATATAAGCAAATAATCTTTGTGTTTAATTGCTTGGTTGTGTGTTTGTCCCTGTGGCACTAGGTTGCTACGAGGAAGGCGTACGGCATGGCTTTGGCCAAGCTGGGCCGTTACAATGAGCGCGTTGTGGCTCTGGATGGAGACACCAAGAACTCCACATTCTCTGAGCGCTTTAAAAACGAACACCCAGATCGCTACGTGGAGTGTTACATTGCAGAGCAGAATATGGTAAGAGAGAAATGTTAGAGGGCAGGAGAGGTTTTGGACCACAGCCCAAACTGTGAGGAAGTACTGAACTATACAGATACCATCATCACTAAGTTCAGGAATATTAACATTTTAAATGCATGTTTTACTCCTCTGTAATCCTCCATCTGTTTGCAGTTTGCATGTTATTGTAGTTATATTTTCTGCTGTCACATCATCGCTGAGTAGCATCAGTGTAACTATCCTCTAGTGTTCATGTTTATTAACATCAGTATCTTTCCTTGTTGGATCATCTTACATGACAATAGGCCAGTCAGAATGGTTTAGTGTCCGCCTGGATCCATTAACATGAAACATCAGTGACATTATGTCATTGTGCTCTGTGAGCTTTTCAGAGCCTTTTCTTTAACAGTGACCTCAACAACAAGGGCTTATCATAAACACTGTTATTTACACGTTTCTTTTCCTTTACCTGGTTTTGCCTCCAGTTGAGTGTGGCAGTAGGTTGTGCCGTGCGGGACCGTAACGTGGTGTTTGCCAGCACCTTCGCCACATTCTTCACCCGGGCCTATGACCAGCTCCGCATGGCTGCCATCTCTGAGAGCAACATTAACCTCTGCGGCTCCCACTGTGGTGTCTCTATTGGTCAGTGCCAGTCTCACAGCCTGAACAAAATGAGCTTTTCCGGTGGTTAATTCTTTGGACCACTTCTCAATATTCAAAAGAAATTCTCTACTGCGCATCCATATTATACCAGTCACAGCCTCAGTGACCTTGACCCATAAATGGAAGTAGCTGCACACAACGTGGCCTTTACTTTGACTCACCTTTCTTATCACTACACCTGTTTGGCACAGTTCTGCTTTAGGATTTTTTTTTTTGAGGATATAAAAACAAGTCAAATTGATGACATTTTTCAGATGAGTACCCTGATCAAAGAAAATGCAAAATGTACACAGTGCATGTCAAATGACCATCAACCCAAGGTGATCTTTTATTGCTGAACCTTCTGCCTATGGAAGATATTTCATTCTTCACTGGTTTGTAGCTGGTTTTTATATTTCACTTATGTGAGATGAACAGCTCCTCAATATTTATTGGTTTTAATTTTCCTGAATCCTAAACTTGTTTTCTTAATTTTCTCACCTCCTCTGTTACTTTGGTGCATTTTCTTCTCCTGGTATCAGCACGCCTGCTCCCTCCCTCTCTCTGTTTCTGTGTCATGGAAGTGATGAAGTGATGCACTCTGATTCCTTTTCCCTTCTCCTCCCATTTCTCCTTCTCCTCCACTTCCTCAGGTACACTGCATGCCCACATTTGAAACTGAATGAATGCCTATCACTTTGCTACTGCAAACATGTAAGTGGATGTGACTTGCTGTGTTTATATATATTTAGGCGAGGACGGGCCATCTCAGATGGGTCTGGAGGATCTGGCTATGTTCAGAGCTGTTCCCACAGCAACTGTCTTCTACCCAAGTGACGGTGTCGCCACTGAGAAGGCTGTGGAACTTGCTGCCAACACAAAGGTGTTCACAGTCACCTGTAATAACAAATGGGGAGGGGATAAATTAAAATATTAAACATTTAATGCTGTATGGGAGCTTAATGTTTTATTGCTTTTAATAAAACTTCATTTATAACTTGTTAAAAGTAGAGAACTCGTTTGTTCCAGGGTATTTGTTACATCCGAACGAGCCGCCCAGAGAACAGTATCATCTACAACTGTAATGAGGACTTCCATGTTGGACAGGCCAAGGTAAAGTCTGTAGCTGCATTTTCTCACCACTATTCAATATCACTGTATAACCTAAAAAATGTTCATGCTGTTTTCTGCTCCACAAACTTTGATTTTTCTCTTTTTATCCGTCATTATCACAAACGCCTAGTCCACATATGCCAAATATACCTTCTCTTCCCACTCAGGTTGTGTATAAAACCAATGACGACCATGTGACTGTGGTTGGAGCTGGGGTGACTCTTCATGAGGCTCTGGCTGCTGCAGAGCAGCTGAGGAAAGGTACAGAAAAAAGAAATCCACTCATGTCAGCACACAAACACTGAACAATATGGATTTTGTTTATATTTTAATGTTTAAAGGCACTATAGCTTTTAATATGATGCATCACTTGGACTTAAGCACACCCTCCATCTTTCTCTTTCCTCCTTCAGAGAGAATCAACATCCGTGTGATTGACCCGTTCACCATCAAACCGCTGGACTCCAAAACCATCACTGACAACGGCAGAGCAACCCGAGGACGCATCGTCACGGTGGAGGACCACTACTATGAAGGTGAAGTGTCTGACAGCGCCACCATAAAGGCAAATTACATTTTAAAACAAAATAATTTTCATAAAAAAATAGGTGCATACGACTGTACTTAAAACTATAGAATGTAACTTTTGTTGTAGAAATCTGCTCCAAAACTTGTTTTAATGTGGAGAGGTGCTGTTGAAGCCCCCTGTGGCCCAGACTCATTGAACAGCTGTGGCAGAGAGATTAGTTTCTAAAAGGTTATGAGCGGGATTAGCACCTCTAACCAGTCAGAGATTTTCAATTATTTCAGTTTGATCAGTGATTTTTGTTGCATTCTCATTTATTGTAATTTCACAGTGATGAATTGGACAGAGCGTGGCGGAGCGTAGCAGATCGTAGTAAAGCAGGATGAGGGAGCGCTGGGCAGAGCAGAGTGGTTCATTTGTAGTTTCATGTTGCCGTTACCTTTAGTTACATATTGTAGCTTTAACCTTACCACTAGTAAACACTTCTGTAATTGCTGTGGTAACCTGCTATCATTGGTCATATAATGTAAAGAGGGTCTCTTTCATCTTCATCTTATGAAAAAGTTTGAACATATTACAGTCTTTCTCAATATTCTCTGCTCAGTGGGTATCCACTCAGTAAAATGTGTGTATATTGTTATGTTAGTAAGGACTACATAACAACGTAGCCCAAAGATCTGACATCAGGAGTCATGTTTTACTCTCCAATGTAGTAATAGGTGAGTATATGGACAGAAAGCCATACTGTCATTTTTCAGCTTTTTAAAGCTGTTGAATCAATCCCTCTATGAGAAGTTACTCACCAGTGAAAGCTAGCACAAAGCTGACCTATGTTGGGATATACTCCACCAGGTATGGCACAAAGTGAGCTATTTGCAAATGTTTCCAATTCCTAATTTTAAACCTTCACAAATGGTTATAAAGCGTGTTTTTTTTCCAAGGAATGTATCTCCTTCATCACACACACTTAATTTGCATCAGCAGTGAATAGCTTATTCAGTTTTAGATGTGGATTTTGGGACTGCTGTATTGTGTCCATCAGCACAAAAAAAACTAAAGAAAGAAAAAAGGTATCATCAAAATGCGTTTGCTGTGTGTTCATTTTGGAAATCTACAAAGTACAGGGAATATTGGGTGGAGTGCCAACCTCATCGTCTGTGTCCATGTGCACACCAGTTGACAGTAACTAGATCACCAAGGGCTTAGAAAATATTAGAAGGGAAGGTCTAACTGAAACTAATCATTTTCACATTGCTTAGCTTTCGTGATCACACCGTCAGAAATGTTTGAGTGATAGTTCAGTGTGAGAAGTAAAAAAAAAAAAAAAAAAAACAGAAGAGGATGGAGGGGAGGGAGAGAGGAAGTCAAGGGAGGGTGGTGACAGACCTGTCAGAATACATCACATCACTGTAGAGCTCAGTCGCCCATGGAAGCGTGAGAGATTTAAAATGGCAGAAAGCAGGAAATCAAAGGAAGGAAAGATGGATGATTAGAGAACAAATGAGACTTGAATCTGAATAATTGGAGAAATTTTATGAGATCTGATTGCTTTGTATTCTGATTCACCAGGTGGTCTAGGTGAGGCAGTGTGCTCAGCAGTGGTGAACGAGAATGGCTTCACCATCCACCGCCTGGCAGTTTCCCAGGTACCACGCAGCGGTAAGCCTCACGAGCTGCTCCGAATCTTTGGCATTGACCGTGACGCCATCGCTCAGGCAGTCCGCAAGGTGCTCAGCAGCTCCGTTAATGCAAAGTAAGAGCACTGCAGGGGTGTCAGCAGTACCAACAACATGGTAGAGGACTCAGTGGTAAACTGGGGGGTATTGCACAAAACCAAGATATGGGATTAAGCTGGGATTTTCCAGTTATCCGAGCTGAATTTAGCCCTGACATGGCTGCATGAAAGCAGGTTAAATTAAGACAAACTAAGTTACTATGGAGATATGTCGACAAATCCTGGTGCCTTATATGTTGTCAGCAGTCAGTCTGATCAGAAACCAATGAATTCATTTACAGTTAATCTGTAAGATGTGATACTGACTGTATTCATGAAGATCGCAGTACATATTATTTGAAGTTTGAATTTTATTGCAGCTGTTAAGGTGACGAGAGACTGAGAATAAAGCTGCAGAGGCGTCGTCAATGAAGTCAGTATATACTTCTGCCCTTTTTATATATACTATATGGTGGAAGTGCCGTCAGTTTATTTTTGCAGATACCAAAATCCTTAAAGTTGACATGATAATCACATTACTTATAATGGTTATGGTGAGTACATAAAGACTGTGCTTGCAATTATCAAACAAAGTTTGTTCAAGTTTATTGTTAGCAGATAATTTAAAATGTCAAGTTCAAGGATTTCTCTTGCCACCTCGAACATCAGCTTAAATGGACCTGGAACCGCATAGATCTACTTTTAATTAAAAAATTTCTTTAATGATTTACTTAAATAGAACACTGAAATTTAGAAAATAGTTAACTATTAAAAAATATCAGAGATCCCTCACCCAAAATAGGCCTGTGTGCACTACTTGTAATCTTCATGGTATATTTCCTGAGTAACATATGGTTTGTTAAGAACTGAGGTTAGAATATGTGTATTTTAGGTGAATTAAGGTATTCAGTCGATCTGCTACCGCCTGCCACGTTTGTTCTTGCTGTTTTATTACAGTGTACTGTGTTGAATTCCCCATAAGTGTCTACGAATGGGCATGCTGCCGGGGTCTGAAATGTGCTGCACGTGTCTTTGATGGGCACGCTTGAAAACCCAACCAGCACGGGGCCGTTCATGCTGGTTGGGCGTGGACACTGGTTATATTAACGACACTACTTAACATGTGACATGTATGCATGGACGAATGAAACGCAGCTTCTGTGTCAGCAGCAGTGAATCTGTGATCGACCTTGTGGTCTGTTGAAGAAAGTTGTGAATGTGCGTTCATTCAAATTACCGGTACTTAGACCTGGCTTGAGCTAGCCGTACCTCCTCAACCTGGCTTTGTGAAACGAATTAATCCAGGATGCACCTAGTAGACTAGGTCAAGCCTCGCTTTGTCTTATCTTGGATTTCTTAATTCTACTTTTGTGCAGTACCCCCCAGGTGATCATCACCGACACAACACACATACAATTTACCTGCTCACGGTCTCCTCTTTAACTGTCATTGATGTGGTTTGACACCCTCACCCCAGATTAGTAAACACACCACCTCCACCCCCTTATCTCTTCCTTTGGAGTAAAGTCTTTTTTTATATAATTTTTGTATGTAAGTCACACCCTGCTTGGTGTGGTCTGTTCAAGCACTGGCTGTTTTTAACCCTTCTGACCCTGACTTGTATGTGACCGCTTCACTCCAATAAAAGGATGGTTTCTTCATCATACCTGTGTCCAAAGTCTTTCTTGTGGGTTGTGTTGGCATGATACAAAGATTAAACACCACAGTGACAAACGTTGTACAAAACCTGTTTTTTGATTTCACAAATTAGCTCAAATCCTGGACAAAATGTTTTTAAAGGTTGTGCACTGTAAATAGTTTAGGTGTCCTGTTTACTGGTGCATATTTAATGTGAGATAACCCACAAGCATTGTTTGGTCTCTGAAAGGGCGGAACCTTTGACGGACTGCATTAGCTCAAGATTTTTTTAAAGGGTCAGTTCATCCAAATTACAAAAGGAAAAACTTTCAGATGTATACACTAGAAACACATTTGGAACCACCAACTGAAATAAACTGAGATTGAATTTTTTTTGTGCCCAAAACTTAAGGCAATGTCTTATTTTATCAGGATCATCCAAAACACAATTCCTTGGGAAATATCTGCACAGATAGAATGTTTTGGTGATTTGGATGAAATGTTATTTTAAAAAACAAACTTGTAAGGAAACTGAAAAAATGTTTACTTTACATAATTAACAGTATGTGTAAAGACAAATTATACAATTTTAAACAAAATTTAAGCTAACAAATGCCATAATTCAGATCTACTATTGTCACTCACATCAAATTACAGCTTAAATGCTCTTTGAATTACTGTGTGCATCTCGCTGCAGCTGTGTTCATGCCTGACTAAGAAGCTTCTCTCCCTCCTCCAAAAGCACAGGAACAGGTGAGTTACAATTTGCTGTTGGTTCTTTATAGTGTGTAACAGAGGAAGAGCTACAGACTTTATGCAAAAACTAATTTGATTCAATTAAAAATGAAATGGAGGATTGAAATGATTTTCAGCAGCAGCTGCATTTTATTCTGTTGCATGTGTGACTGCTGCATGTTTCCCTTTACTCTGCCTCTATTCCTCACCCCTTCTGCCTTTAGCTCCTGTACTCATCACCGCAGTCCCCAATCCACACCATGAGGTCCCTGGAGCGCTGTGTCACAGCTTTGATAGCAGCAAGATCCTCCGCTGTCAACTTCAGGTCAGGGCTGCAGCTATGCAGACTGTCACCGATGTGCTGCCCCGCATTTGCGACACCTAGCCTGCAGCCCACAATGACCCCGCCCACTGCAGGGCGGTCCAGCACGTAACGCGTTGCGACACAGGCCATGGGGCAGTTGTGTCTCCTGGCAACAGCCTCCAAAGTAGCAAGTAGGTCCTGGAAAAGGCTCCAGCCACCCCAAGTGTCGATCATCTCCTTGTAGCTTGAGAGGGAGGCAGTATAGAGCTCCGCCTTGGAGTTTGGCTCCGCCTTGCCCAGATAGCGCTCTGTGAGCAGACCGCCAGCTGAAAGAGGACAGGTGTTAAAAGAAAAAAAAAAAAAGAAAGGAGGGATTGAGGTGAGAGGAGTTAAATGAGTGGGGGGTAGAAAGCGTAGGAATACAGGATAGAGATAAAAGACAAGGAGGGGAAGACGTGATGGAGAAAAGGCAGAGATGGAGATGACTGAGGTCACGAGAATGACGGGAGGGTGTGTCACGTCAACTGACTCCATTTTAGAAACCTACCATTTTGCATCCCTACACCATAATGGTAAATTAAACCTGATGCAAGCTGCCCTCTTTGTAACTACTCTATTGGAATGACTTATACACTTAATAGGTACACCTGTACAATTGTATGGGCTTCAATGCAACACTTTCACCTTAACATCGGTGTTTATGAAGCTTAAACTGTTTCAGTTTTTGGTGGAATTGTCAAATGTATAAATTCAATTATATGTTCATTATTGACGTCATAGTTAACGGTGGTGGTGTACTGGACTGCATTATATTCAGAGGTGTTCCTAATATTCTGACTCTCTCCTGTGTGTAACTGGGGAGGACAAAAATAGAGACACCTCTGACTATAATGTAGTTCATATTATAGTATGACCTTAATAATAAATACTATTAAACTTATACATTTGACAGTTGGAGCTTCATAAACAGATGTTAAGGCAAAGGTGCTGCAGTGAACTGCATGCAGTTGTACCGGTGTACCTAATAAAGTGGCCAGTGAACGTATAAGGTAATGCAGATTATACAGTTATAACTTTTTCAATCTGTATCTCACCCAGAGTGCCATAAGTGAGGAGCTGGATGTCATTGGCCAGACAGAACTGTTCCATCTTCACTGCAGGTCGCTGGTCAATCACAGAGTACTGAACCTACAAAGGCAACCGCATTAGATACATGATTAATAGATGCACTGGAGGAGGAGGAGACAGAAATCTGAAGTCTGATGCAGTAGTGTACTAAGATGCAGAGGACATGTGGTACCTGGTTGCTGGAAATGCGGATGCCTCTGTTGCTGATCTCCTCCAGTCTCTGTGTGTCGAAGTTAGTGAGGGAAAGCTCACCTGAGGGGGAAAAGTGTAAACAGGCAGGACCTTGACATCTTCTCCAAGTACTGTAATTTGGAAGTTGAGAGCAGATGGGCATGAATATGTAGGAGGGAGTACAGATCTGAGAGCGAGGTAGAACAGAATCGGGAGCGCAACAGGAGATTTGAGTGTGCAGCAGGGATCCTCCCTCACTCTCAAATCTGATTCTGCTTTTACAAATCTGCCTGCGCACTGTCAAATCCTGAGTTGCAAACCGAGTAGCGTTTGAAACTTGGTTTGTGTTCTCTCACACATTTGGGTGAGGCCACTGACAGGCTGGAAATACCCGCCACAGATGGCTAGCCACTAGCTGTCAAGTGAGCTCCACTCATGCTCCATTTGCAACAGACTGATAAAATGTGACAGCCAATTTTAATATTTGTGTAACTGTACATTAAATATTGGTCAGCACCTTATCCAGGTGTGCCAAATTGTGCATTTATGAATCATGTATGTTTACAGTACACATTGTGTACTACAATGTACATACGTATGAGTCCCTCCTGTTGCATATCAAACAGGTGTCCCAGTGCCTCCAGGTATCTCTTGTCGCTATAGTCCCACCAGTGAAACTGAACACAGTCCAGACTGTCCACCTGCATCCGAGTCATGGAGAGCTGTATTGCCTTCTCCACCACCTACAAACACACACGCTTCAGCACCTCTTTCTACTTGGAACAGTGAAGTTAACTGTGGTTCTTTAAAAACAGGCACACGAAATCTGTGCAACAGAGATGGTTTGAAAAACAAAACGCCTGACAAACGATGACCTAAATCCCAGTATGACCCTGGGTTGCTTATCTTTGCTTACTGCCATATTGTACATATGAATAAATCTGGTCAATTGTGCACAGTCACAACATATTCATTGGATACTGTTTTCTGAACAATCATTTTATTACAAGACTAAAAATAAAATTACTTGTGATGTGAAACAAAGTAATGGGAAATTATTTCACAGTACAGAGCTCAGAAAACAGAAGACACATGGGGAACAATTTATCCTCAACACAAAGAAAGAGCTTAAATTTTAGAGTTTTCTATGCAGCTGTTTAAACCAGTAAGGTGATGCCTGGTTCTTTATAAATAATCACAACGCTCTCTAGTGGATAAAACTATCCTCAATATTAAAAATGCAGCAGACTGTGTCACTCTTACTTCATTTGTCAGAGGCTCACCTTGCGGTCCATTGGTCCTGGTTGTGGAACGTATTTGGTCAGACTCTGCACAGCTGGTGCAGCATCTCCAGAGGACTTCAGCTACAGACAAGACAGTCATAAAAATTTAAAAAAAAAAATCACTATTGCAAATTATAAATATTTGAATTGAGCTAACTAATGTTTCTATAGCTTACATTTAATAATCTATTAATACCATGTTCATACAAAGTTCAGGGAAATTCTAATGAAATTCCTGTTTGTTTAAATACTTGGCCCATTTAACTGCATTATTGCCATAAATAATCCTCCTGTCAAAGGTATTATCAAGCAAGATAAATGGTTTTGTGGACTAAACACACTACCAACTGGATTTTCTTATATTTACATCATATAACAGATGGGTTATTTGCTGTTTGTCAGGAAACTCCCCCCCCCCCTCTCTCTCTCTCACTCACACACAAATCACCTGTGCATCAGCTCCCTCTTGTGTTTCAGGAGTAAGGCTGACTCAGGTAAAAATAAAATAACATATCAGGCAAACTGTAGTTGCAACATCTTCACTATGTTATTTACTTGTCTCTACAGATAAGTGTAATAAATAATTAAACTTTGGAAAGTACATTTTACTTATGTATTATGGTCTCAGCCAAACATGCTATTTACACATCAATATGCAATGTGACATTTCATTTAGAAATGTTTCTAAAGTTAGATGTGCATTTTCAAACTCTTGAGTTCTTTTCACCCAAGGAGTACAGTTCACCTTAACCCACATTAGTATCTTATCTCATGTACTCAGAAGATGGAAACTAACCAAACCAAACAGCAAATGAAACTGTCTGAGCAAATTAAATCATTTAATTACACTTCTTTGTAAATGTTCCTACCTTGAAACAAGCATATGTACAGTATGTGTGTTACCTTGCTGTTGAACTGCCCAAATATTTCCTCTGCAGGCCCATAAATGTCTGCCATGTCGAATGTGGTCAGACCAGCATCTACATAGGCCTGCATGGCCTCAACTGGAGGAACAAGATGGAAAACAGCACATTCAGTCTCTGCAACATGATGTTAGTGTAGATCAAAATACTGAATGAGGTCTTTCTCCAGTTGCAATGTTGCTTTAATCTGCATGTAAAACACTGGTCAAACATTTGATGCCATAACTTCACTGCCAAACCCATGCACACTGGCAGCTTTACAGTTCTAAAGGTTCGTAGCTTATCTCCTTTAGCTACAAAGGAACTGTTGACCAAGGTTTACAACATGGTGCAGTGTTTCAAGATTTCAGTAGCCAAAAAAAAAAAAAAAAGTCCTCTATACAGACACTTTCCAGAAATATCCACATCTTTATTTAGTCTGTACCATTTGCATCATGTCTAGGTTCATGTTTACCTGCTTTGGCTCGATCCACTGCCCCGTGCTTACCAGACACCTGCCACATCCCATTCAGGACCCGACAGATCTCCAGACCCCCAGGCAGTGTCACTTTGGGAACCACAGGCATCCTGCTACAAGGGCTGGGAAAGAAGCTGCAAGAAGGGGAGCTGCAATTTCAACATAGCAATTTCTCTTTTTTTCTATGGTAAATGAAAAGCAAATGCATAGATTAAGGACTAGTATATGCATTTTGTCCTTTTTAGCTTAGATATGTCAGTCAACTGTTTAATACTGCAGAATATTAAAATGAGCTAAATCAAAGACATGACTTACTTTGTCCTCCTTACAAGCTGTGCTCGAACCAACAGCAGCAGACTAACGTACAGGCCGATGCAATAACGTTGTTGTAAAACATTAACTGTTACAAAAGTTACGTGTGCCAACCAGAGGGCGTCTCTGTTTGACACGACATGTTGACAGAACAATCCGTTGTTCAGCAAACTTGTACCCTAACATCATGTCCTAACCAAGAGGGGGACATTACTAGAAACACAGTCTTTAAAGGGGGGAACCTCTGGACATAACACTTGAAGTGAGCGCCTGGTTACCTGCCTACCTACTGGATAAAAACTCTCACTTCTATGGAGAAACAAAAATAAATCACTTCCAGTTTGGGACAGGAAACCAAAATCACTGGAGTCACTTGGGAGATTATTTGAGGAACAGAACATTTAACAACAATGAGGCAAGGAGACGTGATACAGTGGGGAAAAAACTGCTTTACTTTTTAGTCACACTGCCCGTATGTCTATCAGAAATGAATAAGCACCTTCACAGACATGAAGTAAAGGTCCTGTTTTACATTTTACTCCATTGTTGCTGCCGCCTTCTTCTTCTTCTTCCTCCTCTTCCTCTTTTTCTTGCCAGCTGTAAAGTCAGTCTGTCCTGCAGCAGGTGATGGTTTGTCCTCCATCTCAGAAGCTTCAGACCCTTCATCTATAGCTGCAGGTCTTTCCTCAGAGACAGGTGGACTAGGTGTCTTTACCTCTGGTCTACAGCGACAGAGCAGACAGCACAAGTCAACCTCAGAACTGTTAGGGTGATTTTTATTTTACGCACTTATGAATAGGATTTGTTAAGGTTTTTACTTTATAGCACAAGTTTACATACTTATATGTCACAGTTATGTTTACATAGTTATATATATATCACCCTATGTGTTCACTGAACCACTGGTCAATATTTACTGTGTTAGTCACTGAAGCACTGTTAAACATCATAGGGACTTGTTCACTAAATCACTGAATCTCATTAGATGTACAGCTCTGACTATGAGAGTCCACAGTTAATTTATTATCACCACCTGGCTAATGGAATCAGGGGAGTTACGGTTCACTGGGTTCACTGGGACTCCAAGGTTATTTATACAGAGATTAGATCTGGAGGCTGGAAGAAGAGAAAGCTTCAAAGGTAGAACCATTATGTATACACACACATACACACACACACACACAGACAGGCAGAGCAGTTTTAATTGGTGAAACGGAAAGCAATGTCTAATATGGGGCAGTCGGTTAGAAACAAAAGGAGTGTCTATGTAGAAATTAAGGCAGTATAAGTATTCCTCCCCTTCCTAGGGTGCTGTCCTCTACGATTGGAGTAGGAAGGACGTAGGAGGAAGGACGGACTGAAGGACCAATAATGGGAAGTTAAGTCTAAACCACGGCTCCTCCCCAACAGTTTTTGACCAATTAGATAGTAGCACCTTTTCATACAAATGTTGTATACCGATAAGTTTCAGGAGTCTTTTTCTGTTTTTCCTAAACAGTGAAGATCCATGTGCACATGCTTATTTTGATATGTTAATGCATAATAAATTTCACACTGTGAAATATCCTTTATATATCCTCGTATATGAAATACACGAGTAGATCCTTAGCAAACTGGACATTTAAAGACAATATTTCTATGATTATTGCAAAAGAATTTAAAGCTTCATTATACAGCAATAACATTACATGACACCGAAGTAGTGACCTTATCTGAACAGCTGGTTCCTGCTTTGTAATCCCAGGCTCACTGTGTTTCTCCAGCAGAGCCACGAAGAAGCCGTGTGTGCGGGTCTTGGTGGTGCTGGCTCGCAGACACTGAGTGAGCGGCTCCAGGCCTCGTTCAGGCCACTGAGCCAGCAAAGGAACCAACCTGGAGGAGAAAATAGCAAAAGGTTCATGTAACAGTTCTTCCAGTAATGAGTTTTAAAGTCCTACAACAACACCAGAATCATGGTGAGCGATTAGTGAATGAAAAAATATGGAAAGCATCAGACGTGTGCTAAAAGGCCAGTAACAACATCACAAACATTACTGTTGTGTTTCTTTTCCTTTTCCACAGAGATACTAACATGATTCTCATGCCAACATTCAGACTGCATTTGTTATTTGAAGGGGATTGAGGAAACTCCAAATACAATTACAGGTCTAATTTCTTTATGTAACAAACATAAATATACAGTATAAGTAAAATTTTCACACCAAATGTCCAGCACATGAAGCTCCTAGGGCAAACAATACAGTGTCACTAAACTTTGCTCTTGAAAACAGACCACATTCAAACTGAAGGACAGATGCAAATGCGCCAAGCTGCACGACATACGACTGCCAATATTAAAGAGAACTCTGGAAAAACAAATACTGGCAGGTATAAAACCCCAAACAGGTTTAGTTGAAGTGAAAGTGGACTGTTGCTACCTGAAGCCAGGGTTCTGCTGCAGACAGGCCGTTATGACTTCCTCGTTCTCCTGGCTGTGGACGGAGCAGGTGGAGTAGACCAGGCGCTTCAGGTGGGGGAACCTGAGGCCGTGGTTCAGACACCGCAGCTGGAAGGAGGCCAAAGAGGCCAGACGAGCCTGGTCCTTCTCTTGGTCCGCAGAGGTGCTGTCCCTGAGGCACACCATCCCTGGACCCCACAAACACACGATCAGTGGTGCAAAGTAACTAAGCAGATTTACTCAAGTACTGTACAATTCTGAGGTATCTGTACTTTGAGTATTTTTATTTTCTGTTACTCCACTACATTTATTTTATAAACTTTAGTTACTTTTCATAACCATGGTAGCTGTTGCAGTGGTGCTAGTTTATCTATTTCATTCTATATATAGTCAGGCAGTGTGGTTCCCAAATTATGAGTCGGGCCACTCTAAAAGGTCATATGGTAAATCTGAGGGGGAGTGAGATGATTAATGGTAGTGGGAACAAGAAAAAACTAAATTCTGCTACACAAATCTATATTCAACGTTTGTCTATCTTTAACAGGAACAGAAAATTTTACATCTTTGGGGCTTGATGTGTTAAATGAAACCATGTGAGAACTTCAAGTCTCTTAGGTGGTAGTGCAAACAACCTAAATATCTGAAACAAGGAACTCAAACTAGACACTGCTTTGTGTGAGGAGTCACAGGGCCAAAGGGGTGAGAAAATGCTAATTTAATCTTCAACAATTAATTGTATTGTATGCTTTTAAAGGTACAATCCAAATCTATAAAGGTAAGTAATGACAACTGCGGTCAGATAAATGTAGTCAAGTCAATGTACATTTCCCTCTGAAATGCAGTGGGGTAGAATTATAATGCAACACAAAGTCTGGACATACTCTAGTAAAGAATGTGTAAAGTACAGGTACCGCAAATGCAAAAGTGCAGTTCCTGAGTTACTTTTCACCCCTGGCAATGACCTGTAGGTGTGGCAGTACTACTCTGCTCCTGTGAAGCTTGAGAACAAATCAATGCAGAGACCTGACTCAGACTCA